AAAATCAATAAAACATGGTTTAACTCAAAGACCCCAACCCGATGTTACACTCTCAGAGGAAGACCCTCTAAGTCAACCAAAATGTCAAAAACTCCAAAACGTCCTCGACGGCATCCACGACTAAACCTGGTCATCTGCATGTTACCCACATGGAGGCAACATTCAAATAGGCAGGGTGAGTAAAACGATTCATAATAATCAATATAGGAATCAATATATAAAATAGCGTCATTTTCGTATTCAACATCATCATAATCTTCAAAGAAACATCAAAAAGCCATAATATCATAAATTACACCAAATTGTCACATAAATACAAATGCAACAAGAATCATGCATGTGTACTAATTCAACAAAATTCAATGGACACTAGACCGTCAATCCTCCATAGATCCCCATTAATAGGATCAATTCTACACAAGAACTGGAGCACAATAAAATACTTCACATCCGCACAATGGGACTGAAGCCACAAGAATCAAACACTAGACCGAAGTCCGGAATGCATATGAATGCATAATGCACACGTCAATATCATCCTCATAATAATATCATTAGGTGCATCATCATTCATCAAAATAATCATAAGAATCACGTCATCATAGAATCATCAAAACCTCATGGAATCAACGTCACAAGTCATCACAGTTCCTCATGGGGATTCATCATGCAATCATGTATTAATCTCATAAGAATCACAATTATACTCATGGGTACTCATCATACGGTCATGTATTAATCACATATGAATCAAGACTATACTTATAGTAATTCATCATACATTCATTTAATCACATAGGAATCACAGTTACACTCATGGTAATTCATCAGGAAAATAAGAACATCAAAACATCAAGACATCACTGAACCAGAACATAATTCGCGAAACTCTGCTACGTTCTCTAGATAGTTCGCCGTGAGAGTCTGGGGCGAGTGTTCACCGTGTGAAGGATTGTTCGCTTTGCGAACTTGCGATTACAGCAAATCGCTGCTATGCAACAATAGCAAAATCAGGCCAAAAGTCTATACGAATTCCTTCCCCAATGCCCAAAAACATCCCCAAATCATTCCTAAGGTATTACGGCAATAAAGGCACAAAATCTATGACGTATTAGGCCAATCCCGTATCATATTTATGCCTTAAATTCCCATAAAATCCTTACAATTTTCCCACATTCATTAGAGTTCTCATAATCAATTATCCTATACGGTTAAAACCTCAACAACAGATTTTGGCCACGAAGGCCTAATTTCCCTTACTCCTAAATCAGCCTCAAACCTATCAGATCATCAGTTCAAATCCCTCAAACTCATTAAACTCACCAGAAAGACAACAATAATGCAATACTCAAAATCCCTAAACCCTTAAATCGACTTAAAACACATTGAATCACATAAATTCCCATAAATTCCCATAAACTCCCATAAATTCCCATAAATTCTCAATAAATTTCCATAAATTCCTATAAATTCTCATAAATTCTTACAAATACCCCAAGGTCATCATAGTTCTCACAGTCACTTACCCTATAGGGTTAAACAACCTCAAAAACAGATTTGGCCACGAAGGCCTAATTTCCTCAAACTCAAAACATCTTAAATCCTTAATTCAGCTTTAAATACATTGAATCATATATTGAAAATAATGAAGGTAATACCCCCATACTTAAACAACCTCAAAAACAGATTTGGCCACGAAGGCCTAATTTCCTCAAACTCAAAAACCTACTAAATCCTTAAATCCGCTTTAAATACATTGAATCATATATTGAAAACAATGAAGGTAATACTCTTTATACCTTAATTTGCCGACTCTAAACCTTTCTTCTTTGATTCTTTGAAACCTCGCGAAGCTTTTGCCTCAATCCTCTTCCTCAGAGCTCTGGCCTCTATTTCTTCCATTTTCACGGTCTAACAAGAATGAATCCTAATTCCCTCAAAATCCCTTTTTATTAAACCTAACTTTGGACCTTTAAAATGGGCTTTCCAATTTCACCCTCACTAACTCCTCCTTAAATGTCCACTTTGCCCTTAAATTAACTTATATTTATTTAAATTAATAGTAATACTAATATATTCATATTATATACTATTATTTAAATAAATAACCCAAAATCCTTAATTCTCAATACTTCATACCAACCACCGTAAATCACCAAAAATACGAATATTCCTATTTAAATAAATTAAATAAATATTCCAATAAATTTGGGGTGTTACATTTCTTGTGCCATTTGATTTCATCTCATCTTGCTTTATGAATATGAATGTTTGTTTGGTATTGACATGATGTTAATGTTCACCTTGCATGTTTGAAATGAGTGTGTTTGATGCCACTTGTCTTTGACTGGATGATTGCTCCTTGTTTGTATCTTCTTCATTCTTCATCTTTCTTCTTCCTCTCTTTTCTCTTCTTGTTGTCATTTGTGATTGAATTAATTGGTGTTTACTTATGCTTGCTCACATGATCCCTTAGGATTCCTAGTCCCTCTTAGTTTTTTATTAAAATATGAGTGAGAGAGACATTAGGCTTTCAATCCTTTGTAAGATAACAATTAGGATACTCCCTTTCACCTCAACGTTAGTTCCATCATTTGTATGATAACATTAAGTAGACTTCATTTTCATCATAACCATAGGACTATTTTGTATGATAACATTAGGGATTTCTTTTGTGTCTTCTCTTCTCATCTCAAAAAACTTTAAGACACTTAATAAATAATGATGAACATTGTGCGCCACGAGCCTTAAGTATACGGGAAATGATGAGTGGTGGGTTTCTCCTCATTTGTCTAGAGTGTTTAGTGTATGCCCTTTGGGTGATATGCGACCCATTCGCTTCTATATCATAGTCTTTAGGGCAACGTGAATCACAAAGCAAACTAATTCACTTCTCTAAAACTTTTAAACCAAATTCAAACCTTTTCATCCTTCAGGATTGTTCTTAAGATCATTTTCAGAAAAGAGTACGTTACTCTTCCGTTCTACCAAAAATAGACATCGACCCTAACAACTGGAATGAGAACTTAACGTCGCTCTTAAAAAACACTTAACCAACCAGTGGTTTAGTTACCCAAACTACGTTTGCTCTGATTTCTCGTACCATATGAGGATACATAGGCACAAAACGGCGATGTCTTGGCGAGCAACCTTCCCCCCATCATCCCTAGTTTTTTGAACCACGTTGACTCTGACTTTTCCATTGCACGAGGGAATACGTAGGCATAGGGCGAAGATGTCCTATCGAGTCTTCTTTTTCTTTTCCATCCCTCGTTTAGCAGTAGCTTTTAGATAACTCACCCCTTTGGTTAGACAACAAGCGTAGATCCCGTTGAGTACAACAGATGTGAGGGGTGCTCATACCTTCCCCTTGCGTAACCAACTCCCGAATCCAATATTTGATTGCGATGACCTTGTATTCTCCTTTCTTTTAGGGTTTCTTTGATCGTTTCCTTTCCCTCTCTTTAGGATAAATAACGTTCGGTCGAGACTCTTTTGTGTGTTTCCGCCGACCCTTTTCGCAGTTGCGACACATTTCATTGTCAAGTAGAAAGTTGTTCACTGTGCAATTGATAAAGTTGCATGGTGAAAGTTAGTTTGTTCCTTAATGATGTAGATTTTTTTCTAAAGTGGATATTTTGTGTATTTTGGATTAAATTCTAGTCTAGACAAAAATAGTTTCATGTTTTGATAGAGTTGTGCATGTTGTAGTTGAAGCATGCTTAAGCATGCAGGAGCCAAAGTTATGCATGTTATAGTCGAATTATGTTCTAGCATGCAATTGTATAAGTTAGCTTGTTGGTTAAGTTAGCTTAGTGTTTAAGTTAGCTTAGTAGTCTATACATAAGTTTCTCTCTCAGGTTGTCGAGAGAGGGTTAAACGTTGGTTGTTGTTATTCACTTGTAACCTTTTGCACTAATTGAAAAAGTGAAAAGAAAAACGATTTTAACCAATTCTTGTTCTTTTTCTTCCCTTTTCTCTTTCTTTCATAAAACTAAAACGATTCTTGTTTTTATTCAAAAAACTCAAACTTTTTCATAATATTTATTCATTTATAGTGCGATATTTGTCACAACAATAGAGTTCCCAAGCAAGTCCGAGAAGGCACAAGAGTTTTTACAGATCTACTAAGATACTATTTTCATACCAAAAACATGTTCATGTCCTCCACATCTTTTGATGTCACCGAAGATCTAGTAAAAACTATATCATTTATAAATTTCTAAATCAACCAAACCCCAGCAAGACCAAACCATCCTCAATCCCTAAACATGAAATATTCTTCATACCTACCAACAACGTATTTATTTTAAACTTTTAAAAAAACAAGCAGCCACATAAACCAGACAAAAGATTAATGGAATGAAACTGAATTACTTTATAAAATAAACTATTTATTTAAATAAAAACTAAAAATAAACTCAATATAGTTGTTACGATATAAAAAAATATACAAAAACATAAAAAATATATAATCTGAATATCTTTATGTTTAGTATCTACTAGTTCAGAGATAGATGGAGTAAAATATACGGTGACGGTGAGTAATTTTCCTCAACAATTACGTTTAATTTTCTTAGTATTCTCTATTACCCTTATGTTTGGAGAAAAGCAACATTAAATTTATTATTGAATAAAACAAAGCAACGTTTAGCCCGTTTAGTTGAAATGGGTGTTTTTCTTACATAGAAAATTGTTGCTATGCTAAGATTTGCTTTGGAAATCATGGTTTTTCAATTTACGTAATTTGTCAAAGGAATAAAAAGCCCGTGCTTCTCACTTTCACAGTATTGCTTCAAAAGAGGTTCTTTGCTCCTAACAATTAATATACATTTCCACATTTCTTTCTTTTTCTTCTTTTGCAACTAAGTTTCATTTCATCTATCTCAACCACCCTTCCAAGTAAGTATTTATCTAATCCTCTTATGCAGAAATAGATTCCTTACATAATTTTTTATAGTATTAATTTACAACTCATTCAGCAGATCTCATCCGCGATAATGGCTGCTTTATCTCTTGTTGATGCCAAAACTAATGCAGAGGAATATAAGATCGTCCACTTTTTGTATAAGCACAACCGCAGCATTAGAAAAATATCAACTGGTAACATTTATAAGCAAACGCTACTTTCTCGATTAAACTTCACAAAAGATTATAAAATTATAACAGTGAAGAAAAAACTTCATATATACGACAACCATTGCAAAGATATTTATTTGATCTTAGAAGACGACATTAAAAGTTATCGAAGCAAATATCAGTTTTTACATATTGGGTTGGTACAGATCTCAATCGAAATGAACAGTGACAACTATGTACCCCATATGCCAGTTAGATTAAGAGACTCAAAGTACTCGAATGTTGAAGACTCTATTTTAGTTAGTTTTGCAACATCAGTGGATAATCGTGTAGTTAAGTTTAATTGGTTCCCAAACTTTTCAACTTGTTTATCTGATCTAGAAAATTCAAATGCCTTAGTGGTCACTATAGATCCTCCAAAGACCATCGAAAGAGTGATGAATGAAAAATATCCGTTAGGTTATGAACCGTTGTTAAAAGTTAGGTATAGGGTATGCTATAAATTAATGAAGACGTCTCTTAAACCTGATTACCTATTTCAAAATCCTGTAGTTCAGGTAAACACTGATATCACAAATTTTGTTGTTCCTCAATTCTAATATTCTGAGTTACTAAGGTACTGTTCCTCAACATTGAAGTCCCAAGACAAGTTTGAAGATTCTTCTCAATACCCGGAGGGTTCATCCAGATGCTTCAATCTCTAGTTCTACCCTAAATCTTCTACTTGTAGTTTTTTTTATAATTAATTTTTCATTTTATTTTTTGTACTATGCATGCTTCTTAATATATCTACTAGGAATTATGAGTTGGTCTTAATAAATCTTATTTGTAATTGTTCTTTTGAGTTGATCTTAGTAAAATCTTATAATCTTATTTGTAATTGTTCTTCTAATGCACTTGTGTTCTTTGGTTTTTTTTTTGCAATAATGTTCTATCAAAAATGATCTTTTTATCAAAATTATTAATCTCGAGATTTTTTTAATAATTTCTCTCAGTCTTTCTAAGTCTTTCCATTTCTCGAATTATTTCTTTCTCTTCATTTAATCCACTCTGTTTACTAAAGAGTCTACTGAACTTTTTTTCGACATGTCCAAACCACTTAAGTTAGTTTTTCACCATCTTTTTCCTTTAACGGCGCTAACCTGACACACTATATAATATTTTAATTTCTAACTTTTTATGTCGAGTCTTAACACACACCCACCGCAACATTCTTATCTATGTTACACTTACTTTATTTTTATATTAATTCTTAATTGTCCAACATTCCGTCCTGTACAAAATTACAGCTCTTGCTACAGTCCGATAAAACATCCTCTTCAACTTAAGCGGAATATTTGCATCACATAAAACACTTGATGCCCTTCTATTGTGTTAATGTACCAGATAATTATATTATTATTACATTTATCTAGATAAACCATACTTTTCAAAAGGGGGAAGCATTCCCACTACTACAAAAAGTATCTTTTTTAATACCATTTCACCTTGGCTAAAGTATCCATCATGGTAAAATATATTCATTTAGGCGCTTTTCTTTTATTTTTATTTTAAGTCACTTTTTACCATAGTTGGAACTTTCAATTGTGCTAAAAAGTGGGGTGTAGTGTAGTGTTCATGAGTTCAAATCTTAGCACCTACAGTTTTATTTTTTCCTTATTTTTAAGCCATTTTTTATCATGGTTGGAACTTCCAACCGTGGTGAAAAGTGGCACATGTTAATGAGTTCGAATCCTAACACCTACAATTTTATTTTTTATTTATTTTTAAGCCATTTTTTTTTACCACGGTTGAAAATTTCAACCGTGGTGAAAAGTGGCGCATGGTCATGAATTTGAACCATAGCACCTACAGTTTTTTATTATTTATTTTTAAGCCATCTTTTACCATGGTTGGTGTTTCGTCAAATTGCATATTCATCCAAGTTCCACATCAGGTAGTATGAAGAAAATAGAATTTGAATATGAATATTAATAGAGATAATTACTTTTAGTTTTTTACCCAACAACAAAATATAGTCTTTTGAGTGTATTGGGGATTTGGGTAGTTGTGTGTCTAGAGAGAGTTTTCTATTTTTCCGTTCAAAATAGTTTTTTTGAGAGCATTTTCTATTTTTACGTTCAAATACAGTTTGTTGAGAGGGTTTGCAATTTTTCCTTCTGAAAATTATAGTTGAGAGAGAGTTTGCAATTTTTCCATTCAAAAATTGTAATTGAGCGAGCATTTGCAATTTTCCCGTCCAAAAATTGTAATTGAGGGGGGTTTACAATTTTTCCATTCAAAAATTGAAATTGTATCGGAGAGTTTATAATTTTTTCATTGTAAAAAATTACAAGTTGAATTATGATTTTATGAGTTTTTGTTGGAATTTTTACTTCTTTTTCTTTTTTATGGGTATGCTTTCGTGTTGGTGGTATTCTAGAGGTGGTATGTGATAAAATATATTGTTACAGAATTTAGAGTACTGAAATATTTTATTGAATTCATCACACACACTTTTTCTCTAGCATACAACTTAGCATTACAAAGCCTTTATATAGGCTTGAAGGAAACTGACAGAGAAGACAAAAAATTGGTAATCAAGATGAGGACTCTTTGGTTCACTCAATCTTAATGATACAACTCTACCATAAGTCTAAATAAAGACAATAATTATAATGTGATGATTACAATTTTCTCATAATACTTACTAAAGATAATGGTGGTTACAACACATTAATTTTAACATTCCCCCTTAATGTGTTGTTCTCTAACACCCATTGCTTCTCTAAGTTGCTGAAATTTTCCTCTTGGCAGTGCTTTAGTAAAAATGTCTGCAAGTTTCTCTTGTGAACTGTAGAAAGTTAACTGCACATCTCTTTCTTCAATCACACTTCGAATGAATGATGCTTTATGTTAATGTCTCTGGTCCGACTATGAAAAACATGATTATTTGCCATGGCAATAGCTGATTTGTTGTCTCAATGAAGTTGTAGACTTCCTTCTTGCTTCTCTCTAATGTTTTCTAATATTCTTCTCAACCAAAGTGATTGCTGTGTAGCCAAATCAGCTGCTAAATACTCAACTTCAGCTGAAGATTGTGCCACAATATCTTGCTTCTTTGAGTACCAAGAGATCATACCTGAACCAATGTTGAATACATAACATGAAGTGCTCTTCATATCATCAACACTTTCAGCCCAATAACTATCACAATAGCCTTTAGCTTCAAGTTTAGAACTCTTTTATCCCATGCTCTATGGCTCCCATGACATACCTTAGAACTCTTTTTGCTACCCCAAGATGTAAATGACTTAGTTTACTCATAACTCTTGAGAGTAAACTAGCAGGAAATATTAAATCGGGCCTTGAAAAGTATGCATATATCCCTCTTGAGTCAAACATCGGTAAAAAACATGGTTTGATACATATAGAAGTTGTTCAATATATGCTTCATATAGGTTTGGTCAAGTTTGTCTAACTTACTATGTGATAGAGTACCTCAAAAGTAGCATGATACATAAAAATATGCATTTTTGCATATTTTGGGTTTTTGAGTTAACTCAAACATGTTCCAATCGACTCATACATAAAGCATTTTGTATGGTCTACTCTCAGGAGTACTCACGTTGACCCTCCGGTCGACTCATAATGTGTTAATTTTTGTTTGTCTAATTCTGCATGCTTTGCGTCAACGTATGACCTGCTCTGGTCGACGCAAAAATTCTGTTTTCTGCCTAATCTAAAATTCGGGTAAACTCAGGTCGACCCTCCTTTCTTCATAGACCGACGGCTCGCACGTTTTCAGTTAAATTTCTATCATGTGAAATTGTCTTTGTGGCTGTTATGTTGGTTAATTGCTTTTGACTTGCATATATAGTGAGTTTTGCTCATTCTTCATAAAACAACAATAAAAGTGAGAATATATACTGGTTATTCTCATCATCTTCATCCTCTTCCTTGAATTTTCTCAACAACTACATATAATCATTTTTGTTGTGCATTCTAATTTTTAAAGGTGATAACATCCAAACATAGGATTGGTGTATTCAGGTTTGGGTTGAGAAATCAGTAGGTTTTTCTTGAATAAAACTGTTAGGGTTTTGTCCTCCAAGAATCTTGGGTTTTGGGGGGTTTTTACACGAATTGGTCCATCACAGGTTCAGTCGAGTGAAGGTAATCAAAGAACGGGGTTGTTCTGTCAGTTTAGTAGCGGTAACCGGAGGATTGTGAAGACCGTGGGGTTGTTCAAAAGGTGTGCCGTAATCAGAGGTTTATTCATCGCGTTCGAAGGACTTGATTCAGCTTGAATCAAGGGAAGAGAAGGAATAGGCTCTATATCAACAATTAGGTTTGATCGTTTGATTTCTATTGCTTCTCTTGTAAACATTTACCAACAGGTTATATCTATATACAGGTCTCAATTCTATTTTTAGAATTTAGGCCAGACGTACCCCGGGCGAGGACGACGGCGGAACTGCCTCAACAAATCAGTGTTCTCTTTATTTTCCAATTGCTTAATTTCTTAGTTTGTGTGCAAACAATTGAGTTAATCAAAATTTTGATGTGAGTAGTGTTGAAACATTTTTGAAGCCTCTTACAATCCTTGATTGTAATTGAACACTTAAGTACTTCACTCACATATTGGAATTCACTTGTGGTGCCTTGCACACCAAGTGTTTGACTAATTGTGTGAACAACAAACGCTTGTGTTGTCTGTTCAATTTGATTATATTTTTCAAGCATTGGAAATAATCCAACCTCAGAGTGAATAAATTCTGGTTGATGTGTGTTCAAATTAGTGATTCTTAATCTCGGTTTTATCGGATTCCAGAGGCTTTGCGCATATCCGATTGTTTTGGTAAAGGTTCGTTTTAGACGAATATAGTTCCTCGAACACTTCCTCCTAAAAACTTTTTAAAACCAAATATTGGTAGCGCCAACTATGTTTTTAATAAGTGATATATTCAACCCTCCCTTCTAGATCTGCGCCATCGTCTAACAAATGGTGAAATCTATAGTTACTAGAAAGACTGTATGCGTGTGCACATAAATTCGATTGACAGGAAGGTATGCAATGTTATTTTGAACGGTCCTATGGAAATAACCATGACCAATGAAAATAACATGATTGTGCCTAAGCCTGAAGCACAATGAAATGATGAAGACGAGAAAAAGTACAATTACGATTGGAAGGCTAAAAATATTCTGATCTCCTCCTTGGGAGTTGATGAATACTATAGAGTTTTCCATTGTTTGACTGCTAAGGCTATGTGGGACTCATTACAAGTTGCCCATGAGGGAACAAATGATGTCAAACTAGCTAGAATCAATACTTTGACATAAGAGTTTGATCTCTTTCACATGGAGCAAGGGGAAACCATTGTTGACATGCAAAAGAGATTTTCTCACCTAATCAATAGACTAAATTCACTTGGTAGACTAGTTTCCAATGATGTTGCTACTAACAAACTCTTAAGATGTCTTACCAGGGAATGGCAACCAAAAGTTACCGCCATAAAGGAAGCAAATGATCTTATGACCTTGGATCTTACAACACTCTTAGGAAAGCTTCAAGAATAAGAGCAAGTGCTTCTTAGTCTCGAGCAATTTGAGAAAA